TATAAATCCTTCCATTCCCCACCATTCAGTCGGAACTGAAGAAGCTCCTTGGATGAGAAGCGAAACATCTTCAAGGAAATGTCTATGGGGACATAGACATTCCCCTAATGGTGGGGAATGGAAGAATTGATACTCCTTGCAGACAGTTGGTCATTTGCATCCTCTTAGAGAGCTGTTGAGGCCACCCAGCTAAGTGTCTGTGTTTTAAGTCTGCAAATCCAAGCAACATTATATCATAGAGGCATTTTATATTGATTCCTTGCCGTATTTTATATCTCCTTTTTATTTTTCCTGGCAGGAGGGATGTGTCCTTTTCGGCACATCAGTGGTGAAAAGACAGTGGTTTGTAAACACTGGTTACGAGGCCTGTGCAAAAAAGGGGACCAGTGTGAATTCTTGCACGAGTATGACATGACCAAGATGCCAGAATGTTACTTCTATTCAAAATACGGTAAGGGCAAATGTAGTAATGAATTGCTGTTATTTAATCTTGCAGATTTGTGTGTGTGTATTCTGTAGTGTATCACAGGGGCATCCGTCTATGGAGATGCTCAGTCATCCAGGTTGTGGTTGTCTCAAATGTGCCTTTTTCAAGAGGCAACTGGACTTTGCTTTTCTTCGAAGACGTTTCGCTTCTCATCCAAGAAACTTCTTCAGCTCTGAAGAAAAAGCAGAAACTCCAGTTGCCTCTTGAAAAAAAAATACCCTTTGGGACACAGTGGAATGCATTTCATCCATTGTACCGGCAAACTTTACAGCAATGAGTTTTACTGTCTCAAGTTGCAGTGACTTGAGATGTCGATGGAAGAAATGAGATTTTGACCAGAAGTGCATTGGTTTGTAAGTTGTAAGTCTACTGGCTATTACTCTGTGCTTGATTAGGTATTTTGAATGTTAATGGAGTGTTAATGATTGGTGTGCATTCAGTCATGCTCTAATGGCATGCTTGCTTTCACTTTTTGATATGATTCTTAATGTTTAAATTACCAGTTTCTTTACACTCCTGCTCTGGAACGTATATGTGTGCAAGTTTAGCTCATTGACTTATGTTTTAAAAGGCTGGTGATGAAAGGTGTAGTTGATGGTCATAAGGAAGCACCTGATTTTCTTAATATTTTGCAACTGTTCTTGAAGTTGCACTGACGGCTTGGTGGGCTGAAGCTGGTGACTGTCTGTTGCAGGGGAATGCAGCAACAAGGAGTGTCCATTCCTGCACATCGACCCAGAATCTAAAATCAAAGACTGCCCTTGGTATGACCGAGGTTTCTGTAAACACGGTAGGTATTCAACTTGTGACTGTTGATAAGCTGCACCTCCTTGAATAGAGACTTCTCGAGCAATGAAGCCAAGCTTGCAAAAGCCCCTGAATTGATATTTGGCTCCTTGAAAACTTACCTTCCCTTTTGAAGAAAAACTTACTTGTAGTTAGAGAGAACTATCTGAATTTGGGCTACTCTTGCTGTTTTGAAAACTTAAGCAATCTCAGTTTTGCCTTTGACGAGGTCAGTATGGGGGAGGTGGGGAGGTTTGTGTGTCTTGTGTACAATCCTTCTTCATTCCTTGCGTTCTATGTTGTAGGTCCTCTCTGCAGACACAGACACACACGGCGTGTTATTTGTGTGAATTACCTGGTAGGCTTCTGTCCAGAGGGCCCTGCGTGCAAATTCATGCAGTGAGTATTTCCCAGGTCTATCCTAAAATACTCCACCTGATGTTATTAAGCCACAGAGGTGTGTGTCCTTTTCAAATTCTTCCCAAAATGTCATGCTTAAGTCTCATGCTGTCCCTCATCTGCCCTCTTTAATACGTAGCTAATTACTAGAGTTCCTGTACCGATAAAGCGCTCTATAGCATGAAAACAAAGCCACGTTTTCAAGAGGATATTAATTCTGAAGCTAAGCTTAAAAGTGTTCCTGGGAGAGTTAAGATTCTAATAGTGGATTTCCTTTTTTTATCAGTTTGGTCTCCCTATCTTTCCATACGCATATCTCCTTTTTCTTTTGAAAAACAGTCCTCGGTTTGAACTTCCCATGGGAACGACAGAGCAGCCGCCCCTGCCGCCCCCAACGCAGCCTCAACAAAAGGTAAGCCACCTTGCTTTTTCAGCTGCTTCGGCAGGAAATTCTTCAAGCTTGAAGATTCATCACCTTTGAATTGAACTTAAAGAGAACTGGGTCTGTTTGAATTGCGTGCCTTTGTTGATGCTAGAGATGTTTCTCCTGTATAATTGATTTGCGGAGGGGGAAAGGAATGGAGCACTGACATTCTGGGGGGGGGGGGGGGTAATTTTATTGTGTGCTTTTAATTGAGGGCACTGCAAGCATCGGACCAAATCACAGATAATACCACAATCTAATTGCCTCAGGATTCTAACACTGTACAGGAAGATGGTGTTGTTGTTGTTGTTGTTATCTAAAGGATAACAATAAAGAATAGAACATTGGAAATGTTTAATATAGACACATTTCTTCGCTTCTTGTACCGAGGTTGCAGGATTTGGGGTTTGGCTGGTCTAGAGAAAATAAAGACTAGGTGGGGACAGGATAGCAGCATTTTAATATCTGAGGGGCTGCCAGAAAGAGGAGGGGGGCGGGGGTCAACCTATTTTCCCAAGCACCTGAGGGCAGGACAAGAAACAATGGGTGGAAATTAATCAGGGAGAGAAGCAATCGAACTAAGGAGAAACTTCCTCACAGTGAGGACAATTAAGCAGTGGGACAGCTTGCCACCAGAAGTTGTGGGTCATTGGAGGTTTTTAAGAAGAGATTGTACAGCCACTTGTCTGTAACTGTATAGGGTCTCCTGCTTGAGCCAGGGGGGTTGGACTAGAAGACCTCCGAGGTCCCTTCCAGCTCTATTCTGATTGATAGCTTTTGAGGTAGAGTTTGAAAGTCGCACCATCATCGGTTAAAGGATGCTTCAGGGGTGGGGGGGGGGGCACATGGTAGGTCCCAGGACTGCAGATTTAGGGGGAAGTTGAAAGGGATTCAGTGTTTGCCTTACACTGTGAGCTTGTTATGAGGCACCTTTCGGGAGGTGTGGATTGCTTTTGGCGCAAGTCTGGGGCAACTCTCTTGGCAATTCTTGTCTGAGGTTAGTAGAGAAAACAGCTGCTAAGGCATAATACTTATTGTGTGGGCTGCTTTCCCTTTTCAGCAGAACAACAACGCGCCATTGCAGAGGTCCTCCTCTCTCATCCAGCTGACCAGTCAGAAATCTTCCCCCAACCAACAGAGGACCCCACAGGTCATTGGGGTCATGCAGTCCCAAAACAACAGCATAGGGAACAGAGGCCCACGCCCCCTGGAGCAAGTCACCTGTTATAAGGTAAGGCAAGCTGCCTAAGGCTTGAGTTTCATGAGGGAATGGGAGGGGGAGGCCGATCTGTGCAGTTCCACTTGCCAACCCTGAATTCTGGAATTGACACGATGATATATGCGTGTTTTCACTCTTGGAACATGGGATATTCCCCTCCAATTCTGGAACATGAAATTTGAGAAATAACTCTCTCATCTGCTTTGTGAGGAGTGAGAAAAGTGTAAGATTTCCCCCTCTACTTCTACATGTTTTTAAGAAATCTGTAGAATTGTAACAGAATATAGACAATGGGGAACGGAGGCTAATAGAATGGGCTGGAAAGTGTTAGCTTGAAATCAAGTTGTTTTGGTGGACCGTGTTGTACGATGTACCGTGTTTCTCATATAATAAGGCCGGGTCTTATTTTTTTTTGAGCCCCGAAAAAATGGCTAGGCCGTCTTTTCGGGGGTGACTTAATTCCCCCCCCATGCATCTTTGGGTGGGTGGGCAGCGACGGCTTGGATGTTGACCTCGGCGTTGGTGGGGCACTTCGTATCGGGGTCAACGCAGGCAGCACCATATCCGGGTGTGCAACAAAAGTACTTCCTAACGGCAAGCCCCCCCCATTTCGCATGTTTTAATATAGGCCTTAATTTGGGGAGAGGGGCTTAATTTCATTTCATGCCTATAAAACATGCTGGGACTTCCTATTGGGGGAGGCCGTATTGTTGGAGAAACAGGGTAGCTCGCTGTCTAGTAGTTGTGGCAGTGCCAAATTTAGCCACATGGATGTTAAGTTTTCATGCCCACCTACGTGGTATGTAGTCTGTCCAAACGTAAACAATGGGATATAATAAAACAGCAGTCCATTGATTTGCACTATTAGATTATTATTTTGAAAGGCAGGTCAACATTGCTGTTTCTAACTCTGGACTTTCAGAGTCCAATTGTGAATATCCAGATTAAAGGATTCATTAAAATCTCCCAGTTATATATGTACTTTGAGTAACAGTGTTTTTGTCTTCTTTTTAGTGTGGTGAAAAAGGACATTATGCCAACAGATGTACCAAAGGACATTTGGCTTTCCTTAGTGGGCAATGAACCAACGGACTTTACAGCATTTTCATATACGTCTTTACGAGCCAAATTATCTCTAGTATCATCTTAAAAGACTGAACCACCTTTTTTTTATACCTGCACCAAAGGACTGGCCAGTGAAAGGATTACTTGATCTGCAATTACTTTTTTTGTTTTGGCATTTTCTTGTTTTAATTTTTACGGCTACAATGTAGTGCCTCTCCCTGTTCACAGCCTGAAGAAGCAAATGTCATACACAAGCCTTCTAAAAGCAAAAACAATTGGGACAGGGGTTTTTGGTTCAAAAGGGTGGAGCTTCTTCAAAAATGTTTAGCCTGTTTTTTTCAACAGTTCTTGGCAGAAGATGATAAATATGTGTGTGTGTGAGCAACTGCCCAGCTCTGCTTTGTTCTGAATCTTTGTGTTCCTTGTCTAGGCTGGGCTAAAGGCTAATTCAAGATGGAATTTTGTTTGTCAGGAGAAGTGGGTCCAGTTTGTATTTGTCTACATCTATAGTTTGTACTTTAAGGGGAAAAAAACAAGTTTTTTTTTAAATCGTCATAATTAGTGGCTGAACAAATGCAGTCAGAAAACTCCAAATTATGAAAAGCAGTGTTAGGCTTATGGGAAAATCAAATCTTTCATTCTGAAAGTGATCCCAACTATGTGCCACCACAATGCAGTTTTGCAGAGCACACTAAAAATGATCAGAAGTTCCCTAGGAACATCATGTTCTGACATCCAAAATTCTTCAATCAGTTGAAAGCTTAAAAAAGAAAACAAAAACGAATCCTGTTTTAGAAGTAAGCTGCAGTTCTCTATAAAAACCGATTCTTTAAAAGATCCTCGCTGCAGAATATTTTGTCATGTCATTAAGTTGGTCTTGGAAGACTGTTATATACTGTTAACTGGAAAGTCACAAAACAATTATTCTGAGAATCTGATTTGGTGTATATTTTCTAAGCATTCCAGATACAAAGCTTAGCATTTTTTATCAAGAGTAAAAAAAACAAAAAACTGCCATTTCAAGAAAGATAAAGAATGTGATTAACATTTCAGATCTTGGTGAAGCTAGTATTAGTATCTTCCAATGCTTTTTATAATTTTAAAAGAATGGTCTTTTGTATTTTCACTCATCTGTCTTCTAGCGTTCGAAATAAGTTCTACCAGACACAGATTGAATTATTTTATTATTGGTCTCCGTGTACATTTGATACTTTTGGAAGAGAAATACAGAGGTCAGTTGCCTGTGGTTGACTGATCACAGCAAGAGAAACTTGTATTCTTGTCGGTGGAATCTTAGTGATACTTTCTCCAGCGTTCTTCCTCTAAATAATGAGAACCAATTTTAATTAGATTGCAATTTTCTTTAAAATTCTCAAATAGGAACTAGCTTTTATTTAAAACATTTATATCTGGCCAACAAAATCTATGAATAAGATAACTGAACGTTGAGTATCCCTGCTACTCCACTGAGTGATTGGGGGGGGGGGGGGATGGAAGGGGGCGGGATGGAAGAGGGCAAGCTTATATCGCTAATTCTTGTTCTTGCTTGCAGTTACCAGATTTCTGGGAAAATAGATTTTATGTAGTACTCCTGGCAGAAGGTACTTTGTAGCTGCAGATAGTCCTCAACTTGTTCGTTTACTGACTGTTCAAAGTTACAACGGAATTGGAAAATGACCATTTTTCACACAACCGTTGCAGCATCCCATCACAGGATCAAACTTCAGATGCTTGTCAACTGACTCATATTTATGACGGTTGCAGGGTCATGCAATCCCCTTTTGCAACCTTCTGACAAGCCAAGTGAAGGGGGGAGGGAGCCAGATTTACATAACAATTGTGTTACTAATTTAACATCTGCAGTGATCCACTTAACTGGCAAGAAAAGTTGTAAAAATGGGACAAAACTCACTTAACAAATGTCTCATTTAGCAACAGAAACGAGACATTTGGGCTTGATTTTGGTCATATGCCGAGGACTTCCTATACAATCTCGGAAAAAGCCCTACTTGCCACCTGTTCTATTACATGAACACAGCTGGTCTGAAGTCAGGTGAAGTAGCGCGTAGAAGTCCTAGAAACTGAATTTGGCCAAGGAGTTTAACTGCAGTGGGCAGAACTAAATAAACTCCTGGATCAATGCCTACCAGCCTCACAAACTCACACAATGCTCACCAAAAACCATGCCTTAGGACTGCCACAATTCTCTATTCAACAATAAAACCATAATCCAGTGTGGCTTCGCTCTCCCCACGCAGCAAATGAGGAGGGCTGCATGTTTGGCTATTTTATCTCACGCAGTTTCTCAAGTTTACTTGTGTCAGATATGAATCTGACCCCCGTCCACTCGCAGGAACCAGAACTTAAAAAAAAAAAACCCAACTGGTTTCAAACCCATGTTTTTTGTACGTGGTAAGTCGGTTCTGCTGTATCCAGGGAGCCCTTGCGCCCAGCCAAAAACATTGACCCATTACAGAACCTTGGCACGTGTGAACATAGTGTAATTAATTGGGGGGGGGGGGGGGGGGAGACATTTTACTTACTGAGGCGATCATACACTAAGTAGTAGCTGAAAACCACATACGCGGTTATTAACATGGCGGGACCGGTGATGCCACATCGCTTCGGCTCCCAGTATTTTGCGTAGAACCTGTTGTGGCCTAATCAAAGTGGAAACCCAATTTAGAAGTCAGAGCAATGGCAGGTCATTCCTAAAAACTTTTGGGGGTTGAGGGGGAGAGAAAATATACATCTAGCGGCAACGAAAATAGATAGTCCTTGACTTAAAAGAGTTTGTTCAATGACCGTCCAGTTACAACGGCACCAAAAAAAAATGAGCATTTTTCACATGACCATTGTAACATCTCTATGGTCACGTGATCAAAATTCAGGCACTTGGCAACTGATTCCTATTTATGACGGTTGCAGTGTCTCAATGTCATATGACCCCCTTTTGCAACCTGTCAAGCAAAGCCAATGGGGAAGCCAGAACTTGCCACTAAATTAACAATGGCAACTCTGGCAAGAAAGGTAAAAATGGGACAAAATTTAACAAATATCTTGCTTAATAAAGGAAATTTGGGCTTGTGATTGTAAATCGAGAACTATCTGCAGTGGACAAAAAAAGGCCAACCTGAAGCCACAATTGAACATTTTTTTTACCAGAAAGTGAATTTCACTAAACTTTGCAGGCTAAGTCGAATTTTTAGCCAGGCTCTGGGTCTGTAGCTCAACAACTTAATCTTTTTTTTTTGTTTCCAATAACCATTTTATTTCCAATAAGTTTTACGACTTAACCAATCAGCCAGCAATAACTGATGAAATGTACAGGCCTCATTAAAATATCAATTTAGAAGAGCATAGAAGGGAAGCTCAAATTCAAGAGTTAACGACCCCCAAGTTGAAGCAGGCTGGCACCTCAACCCGAGGCTGCAGAATTCAATGGAAATTTTTAGTCGCGAGTCCATATTTTGATCAATATCTGCAGACAATTCCCATCTTTCCATTATCATTTTACTGATGAGTCAAAATACTTCCACGAATCTAGCAGTCTTGACTAGCCGCATATATTCTAACCACAGCATTATCAATGCAAATGTAATAAGGCCATTCTGAAATGCTACTTTCATGGAAATTCCAATTTGCATCTTGTAAATTTCTAAGGAATATTGCTCACACCCCCCATGGAACATCCCCCCCCCCAATACTAACCTCTCTTGCATGACTCCAGAAAAGCTCTGGGGGTGTAATTGAGCGATGCCAACCAGGTGGGCAGCTGTCCGAGTTTCACATCCAGGAGCCTCAAATCTTTAATAGGTACTAAAAATACAAAAAAAAAAAAAAGGACCCAAAAACAGGACGGGAAGGAATGCAACATTTAAAGAATTATCACCACAACAGACCCATGTAATTTACGAGTGTTTAAATCACAAGCAAAACTAAGCATTCCCTTCTTTTGTAACTAATCTCTCTGTTACATTATAGGAAGATGGAAATTAAAGTCAGTGAAGCCAGCCAGTTACATAGCTTTGCAGAGGACATGGGGGGGCATAGAAATGTAGTAATAAAATAAATATATAAAATGTTGACCCAGTCCTCTTTGCACCATGTAAAAAAGCAGCATATTTAAACACGAAAAATAGATTTAGGTCCCTTTTAGAGACAGGGAGAAAAAAATTAGATCCTGAACCAGTTGTGGCTTAACCTCCTTCTCTCCACCCCAAGCCAACGTAGGAGGACAAATTTATTTTTTAGGAAATTTATATATATGTATTTTATATACTTTTCGTAAAAACCCTACTTTTCTTTTTCTTCCAACTATTGCAAGTGGGAGTTGGTGTGTGTGTGATTGATTGATTGATTCCAGATTTTGTTCTATTGTACTTTATTAATTTATTTCATTCTTTTTGTTAGTGTTTGTTTTACAATAAATATGGTTTTACATTCTGTAAGCTGCCTCGAGTCGCCATGGGTGAATAGACGGCAATATAAATTCAATTAAAATAGATATATATATACACACACACACACACGTATATATGTAAGCATATATGTGTTTTATATATATACACACACACATATATATATATATATACACACACACACACATTTATACACACACACACACACATATATATATATACATACATACATATACATACACACACACATATATATATATTTATGGGGAGGGACAGCATCCCCCACCCCCGCATTGGACTCCAAAACCCATCAATCCCAGCCGGCCGGACTCATGGGTACTAACGTCCCAAACGCCTCCCAAAACGCGTCCGGGTTGCCTCCCCCGGTTTATTTGGGAGGGAAGAGGCGACTTTCAGGCCTCCAGAAAGCCGTGGGGTCACCTTGGCTTCTCCCGCCCCCGGAGAAAGACTCACCGGGTGGTTCCGCCATCTTGCGGCCGCTAAAGCGATCTGCCCGCAAAGGTTGCCGGGAAAAGATAGGCTGCGCAGGCGCAAAAGAGGCGCTAGGAAAGAGGTCGTTGTCTTCAGGGATCTCCTGGGCGGAGCTAGATGAGGGGCGGGGCTTCCGCAGCTGGGGAGGGCGGTGCGAGGATGGTTGCAATGTTTTTTTTTCTTCCATTCGTGTTTTAATAGAATTAATTTAATAGCATTTTAGACTTAAACCACTTAATACTTTAATTTAAGAGCCTTATAATAGCGTTTGCATTCTCTTCCTCTGCCAGCTCCCCACTTTTAAAATTGGTGGAGGGGATCTTTGAGAGGAGTTTTGTCCATGCGGACAAAAAAAAATATCCTTTATTTTTTTTTAATCCTTTAAATTTTATTTAAAATTTATTTAAAAACGGATAATTTTAAAATTATCATTCTTTTATCCTTTATTCATATTTTTTAATCCTTCTTTTGCGGGGTCTGGGTTGGATTGTTCGATATTAAGACACTCCGGTCTTGCTTGCAAAAATTTATCAGCCGCTAAATGGCACGCAAGAGACACCAAAAAGTCTAATTTTTCTACCATCTAGCAGTTGCCTCCAGTAGTTCTACTGGTCTAATTGTTCCCGATTCATGGCTGCAGAAAATAGGTAGCCCTTGGCTTACAACAATTTGTTTAGTGACTGCTCAAAGTTAGACTGGCACTGAAAAAGGACCGTTTTTCGCAGTTACGACCTTTCCAGGATCATATGATCAAAATTCAGATGCTTGGCAACTGTTTCATATTTATGACGGTTAGGTATGTTACGACTTCTGACCGGCAAAGTCAGTGGTGAAAGCCAGATTCACTAAACCACCGGGTGGCTAACTCAACAATTGCAGGGATTTGCTTAACAACTTCAGGTCATAAAATGGGATCAAACTCACTTAACCAGTGTCTCACTGAACAGCAGAATTTTTGGGCTCAGTTGTGGTGGTAAACCAAGGACTACCTGTAGATTCAGGCCATCCTTTCCTTCTTTTCCACCTGGCTGCCCTGAAAATGTGAAGTCCCTTAGGAGTCCGACGTCCAAAAATAATTGAAAAAAAATATTCGAATGTGCAGAAATG